GGAGTGCAGTGGTGCAATCACAGCTCACTTCAGCCTCGACCTCCTGGGGTCAGGTGATCCTCCCACCTCAGTTATGTGCCACCATACCTGGCTAATATTTGTTATTTTTGTGGTAGAAGTGGGGTTTTTGCCATGCTGCCCAGGCTGGTCTCTAATGATCTGCCCTCCTCAGCCTACCCAAGTGCTAGGATTATAGGTGTGAGCCACCATGCCCAGCGAGATCTGCCTTTTCATATAAATGGAATCCTACCATCTGTAGCCTATTATGATTGGCTTCTTTCACTTAGCATAATGTTCTCAAGGTTTATCCATGTTGTAGTATGTGTCAGTACTTCATTCATTTATTGCTATATAATATTCCACTGTACAGATATGCCACATTTTATTCATTGGTCAGTTGATGGCTGTTTGGGTTGTTTATACTTTTTGGTTACTATGAATAATGTTACTATAAACATATGTGTACAGGTTTTTATTACTCTTAGGTATATACCTAGGTGAGGAATTGCTGGGTTATATCGTTAACTGTCAACCTTTCGAAAAACTGCCAGACTCTTACAAAGCAGCTTTCCATACTGTCTGAAATCTCAGTTATTTTTCCTCACACCTGATTTCAGCTGGGTTCCTGAGGCACCACTAATTAACTTCCTATTATATCAACCTACGTAGGGGTATGCTTTATGCTTATATTACCTTCTGCCTCCACTAAGATAATCTTCATCCTTCTCTTTTTCCTCTAAGTAAGCATATATTTGCAGATAAAAGAAAAACACAGAATGTTTATTTACTACTTAGTAAAGGACTTTAGAATAGTTTTCTGAGAGTTCTTCATTCCATAAATTTCAGTGACTGTACTAACTTTGTAGGTCAAACTACATTTTCTTTGTGAAAAACAGACGGCAGATATGAGAACAATATTCCAATGTCAAGAGTATGTTTAATCTTCTTCAATATTTACCTGATATCATTTTTTCCTGCATTAAGAGATTCATACTGGATATTCTGGCAAGCATTAAAAGTGAATCTCAAACACTTAAAAAAACGTCAGTTGAAGAAGTAGAAAAAATTTAAATGGCTTAAAAATGTAATATGTTACAGATTTTTTTTTTCCTGTTTGGAGTAAAAAATTTGTAGACTGGGTGCATGGAAAATACTGAAGTCAGAAAACACAGCTTCAGGATTGAAAGATCGCATACATTTAATTTTATCTTCCCTCCCTGGTACCAAAGAAACAGATTCTAAATTTCCTTTCATTAACATACATTTTTGAGGAGTTGCTAAACTATTTTAAAGCGAAAAATATTCCCCCATTTAAAAATCGTTTGTAACGTATCTATTGAACCCCTATGTGGATTAAAATATCAGTAATTCTCATCCACAGACTATGATATAAAAATCTAGAATAAAGTCTCAATGTGAAGAGTATAGTCATACATTAAACGAATTTTCCATCATAGAATCAGGCCTCTTCTGAGTACAAGTAACAGAAAATCTGACCTAAACTGACTTAGGGAAAAAGAAAACTTAATGACTCCCATTATCCAAAATTCTAAGAACGGCTGGTTTTCAGAATTGCTTGGTAGGACTAGATGACATTATCAAGGTCCATTTTCTCAGTCTCTTAGTGCCATCCTTTGCTGGCTCCCTATTTTGAGAAGTTCTCACCTTATTGCAGTGACAAATGTGGTTTTGTTTATATTCTTTTATTCTTACATCCAGTGGTAAGGCTTTGTCCCAGAAATCACCGCAAATTCTCACTGTAAATCACTGTTTCTAAATGGCTCAACTGCCCATTTATGAACCAGTCACCGTGACCAGGGATTCTGCATTCTCAAAAGTACTGATTGGTTTAGCCTTAATAATGTTCTCTATACACGATGCCAAGGACGGAGTCAGTAACACACAAATATATGGGCTTAGAAAGAAATTACGGTATACTTCCAAAATAAGGGGAATGGGTATACTTCCAAGATAAAAGGGAAGGGATGCTGATCCCCGTAATATAGGAAACACGCACTAAAATGCCATTGCAATACAAGAAAAAAAATTAAAAAGCAGAAATTAAATCAATAAGAAAATTTTGGTAAGATTCAATAATCTTTAAAAAAATTTAAAAAGCATTATTGAGGAGCTGATGTGCAAAACAGAATGCTTAAGGTATACTTTTTAATAAAATTTAACTTGTGTATACACTCACGAACTATGATAATTAACATAATAAAGATATCTCTTTACCTAAAATGTTTCTCTGCCCATTTATAATCTTTCAAATCTCTCCCACTCAGGCAATCACTAACCTATTTTCTATGTGTTTGCACTTTCTAGAATTTTGAGTTGAAGCATACAGTATGTACTTTGGCTTCACTCAGCATAATTACTTTGCAATTCATCTATGTTGGGTATATTGATACTTTTTATTGCTGAGTAATAATCCATTGCATGGACATAGCACAATGTATTTAGCCCTTCATCTGTTGACGGATATTTGACTTATTCTGAGGTTTGACTGCTATGAATGCTGTTGCTCTGTTCAAATCTTTGAATAGACATATACTTCCACTTTTCTTAGGTAAAAGAATAGGTAACTGGAATGGCTGGGTCACATGGAAGATGCATGTTTAACATTTTAGAAAACCACTAAACTCTTTTCAAAAGTGATTCTACCATTTTATATTCCAAACAGCAGTGTTTGAGAGCTCCATTTGTTCCGTATGTTTGCCAACATCTGGTATGGTCAGTCTTCAAATAAAGGATTTCAATAGCTATGTAGTGATATCACATTGTGCTTTCAATCTGCACATTCCCAGTGACTAATAACGTGGAGTGCCTTTTCACATGCTTACTTGCCATTCATCTTGTGTGATGTATCTGTTCAATATTTTGGCCCAATAAAAAATTTATGTATTTGATTATTATATTATTGAGTTCTGAGGGTTCTTTATACATTCTGGATACTAGTCCTTTATCAAATAGTGATTTGTAAATGTTTTCTCCAAGTCTGTGGCTTTTCATTGTCACAACACTGCCTTTCTAAGAACATAATTTCTTAATTTTGATGAAGTATGATTTATCAGTTTTCTCTTTTGGTGTCACATGCAAGAAATCTTTGCCTAACCTAGCCTTACAAAATTTTTCCTTTATGTTATCTGCTAGAAGTTTCACAGTTTCAGGTTTTACATTTAGGTCCATGATCCATTTTAAGTAAATTCTGATACAAGGCTGTGTTAGTTTCCTATAGCTGCTGTAATGAAATTACCACAAATTTGGTGGTAATGCATTCTGTCACAGTTCTGAGGCCAGAAGACCAAACTCAAGGTGTCAGCAGGGCCATTCCCCATCCAGAGGCTCTGAGGGAGAACCTATTTCTTGCTTCTTCCAGCTTCTAGTGGCTGCCAGCATGCTCTAGCATTCCTCGGCTTGTGGCCTTTTACACTCCATCTTCACATAAGCTTCTCCTCTTTGTGCTTGTAACCGCACTCTGCCTCTCTCTTATAAGGGACACTGCAATTAGATTTAGGGTCCACCCCCGATAATTCAGGAAAATTTTTCCATGTAAAGATCCTCATTATAATCACTTCTGCAAAGACTCTTTGTCTTCATAAGGTTCTATTTTTATGTTCCAGGGATTGAAACTGGATATCTTTGGGTGGCCACTATTTAGGCTATCATAAAGGCAAAAATGAATACTCAACTGTTTTTGCGCCACTTGTTGAAAAGATATCTTTTCTCCATCAAATTATCTCTGCATTTTGTATTACCTCTTCATTGAAATATCTCTGACTAAAATTAACTGACCATATGTGTCTGAGTCTCTAACTGGACTCTTTATTCTGATCTATGGATCTATTTGTCAGAATTGGTGCCAATACCACATTGTCTTGATTACTGTAGCTTTACTGACCATCTTTATTTTCTTTTCTGTGAATTAACTGTTCATATCTTTTGTCTGCTTTCCTTTTGTATAATTTGTTTGCTTTTTTATTAAATGATAGTCCTTTGTTCTAGATTTTAATATTCATGTATTATGCATGAGTCACATATCTTTTCTCAGTCTGTTGCTTTATCTTTTACCAAAAGTAGGTCATAAAGAAATTTCATATTTTGTAATGATCAAATTCATCGATCCTTTCTCTTATATTTTTGCCTTCTGGATCTTAAGAAGCCTTCTCAACCTTGAGAATATAGATACTTTCTTCTTGTAAGTATAGGATGATTAAATGTTTGTCTATTTTGTTTACTAATGCAATGACGCCACCTCTTTTTACTGCTTCATGATATATCTTGATATCCGGTTGGGTACCTTTTACTTTGGGCTCTTTTTGTGCATTTATTCTTTCTCACCAATTCTAGAAGGCCTTCCTTCTCTTTGCTTTATTACTTCTATACTTCCATCATTAGGCCAATTTTTTTTTTTTTACCAGCTCACCTATTAGTTCAGTAAGACACACTTACTACTAAGAAGTAACTAGAATATTCTTCCAGTAATAATAAGTGATGAGTAAAAGTTTTGCCTTCTTGTATGACTTGCCATACATAAACTTACCATTTGTTCTTTTCTATAGTTAATAACACAAAATGTCTGAAATTCCTGTGTAATGATGGTTTAACTTGTTCTGTACAGTCATTTCCCTTTTATGTAGAAATGTGATGAATGTACTTTAAGAGTATTTTTTTTTTAACACTGTTAACCATTCCTAATTTCTTGACACTTTGATTCTTTTTTCTAACTCTTCCCATTGGCAACTACTCTACCTGACTCTTGTGGGTAGTCTCCAAGGTTCCAGCTTTGGTCAGACTTCCTTAGCAGGAAAGCAACCACTCCATGCTACCCTCTCCTCTTTTTTTTCCTAAAAAGAAATTTTACCTGAAAATAATTAGAATGTAAATTGTCTTCTTATCCTTAGTAATACATTATCCTTAATACTGAAAAAATCATGCTAAGGTGAATAGTTGATGCTTAAATGTGTTAAAAGAGCAAATATTGTTAAATGACTCTTATATGCAAAACAAAATACTACTTTATTACTATCATACACATTTTATAAATTCCTATTTATAACATGATAAAAATCAACAAAAATATAAGGTACTACATTCTTAGCACTTGTAGTATATACCTCAATGTTCTAAGTATATGTATCTTAGAACATTGTTTAAGCTGAGTTAAATGTTTATGGAATCCCTGAAACATTTCAAGAAAATAGCTTGAAATCACTGCTCTAGGCCTATTCATCTTTTAAAATACGTCAACATGCAACAACATTTAGGATTAATTATCCTGAGAGCTTTCAATTCAACATTAATCATGCAAAAAAATCACATGCACAAAGAATACTGATTACTAATATTTGCAATATATACATAGTCATGGTTAATTAAGCACCACATTTTTATTATACATTTTTCTTACATTCCCTAAGAAGATATTTATTATCTTTGGGGAAAATTTTAGCGAAAATGTAGATCTACTTTCCCAAAATAAAGATTTTTAATAATTCACTGTTTAAATGTCTTTTGTTTCATGAAGTTTTACAACAATACTAAAAAGTTCTGGAAATATTACTGTTTGGTTTTTGGTTACTATACAGTTTTCTATGTCTATGATCTCATGACGTTTGGTACCTAGTCTCTCTTTCCTAATACTAATAGAGTACTATTAGGACTCCAATTGTCAATACCAGTCCTCAGGACCTTTCTTAACTTTTTACCTAGCACCCCAATACTCTCTAGGAAACTGCATTCTGACAAAGGGTTTAGAACATGTATGTAATCCTCATCTCTTTTCCTCCTCTCCGTCTCTCAAACATTCATTCATTAAAATTTAGTTGAGTCAAATACTTGCCCAGACAGGCAAAAGATATGTTAGCAAAAATATTTTCTATCTTATATTTCTTATCTTAATCTTCCGCCTCTTAAATTAAGGTCTTAACTTCCTTATTAAAATATAAAATCCAACTTGAGGTTTATATAAGATACATATCTTGAAATGTTATAAAAAATAATAAAACTTTCCCGGTACATACATACTAAAACAAACCTGGAAAGATAAGTTTGAAAAAACAAAATTTGTGGCAAAAAAGTATAACATATAAACAGGATTATTTTGTTTAAATTGTTAGAAAAATAAAGAGAGCTACAAGGATAAATTATAATTTGTCCTTGTGTGGTAGATTGTTCCATCAGTGGCCCTCAATGAATCATACCACCCGCTATCTGCCAGCTTGTGTAGTCCCCTCATACTGATTCTAGACTTGGCCATGTGATTTGCTTTGTCCAACGGAACATTAGTAAATATGATAGATGTACAGGATCGATAAGCTCTTGCATATTGGAGCTTGCTCTCTTAGGATGTTTTCTCTACTATGGAAAGAACACCCATCTAGCCTTCTGGAGGCTGAGAGGCCCCGTAGAGCAGAGACAGCCAACTCACTGAATTGTGAAAAATAATAAATGTCCTTGTTTTAAACCACTGAGTTTTGGTGTGGTTTGTTTCGCAGTGATGGATAATGTGAAATCTTATCTCTCTCTGTCTATGTCTGTGGCAGAGCAATTGGCTGAAAGTTACATAAAGCTGTACTTAATTTGAAAATAATAATTGAAGTCTCTCAGTAAACTTAAAAAATATTAGGCCTGCTGTCCTCTAACATTTCTCCCTCCATGTAGACTCAGCTATTCAATCCATTTAAATACATATGTACAATACTCAACATTTAACTATTATCCTGTACATTTTATAGGTACAGACTATAGCAACTTATCAATGAACAGAGTACACAATAAATATTTTTATTTTTAAACACTGAATTGTACATCTTTCATATAAAACATGAGATTCTAGCCTATTTTAAAAAGTATACTTGCTAGTACTATCTTTATTTTCTTTTTTTTACAGAAACCAATGTTCTCTAAATCTGCAGTTTCATTCTATAGCTCTAGAGAATCACAATCTCTTGAATATATTTCCAATGTTATTTAAAAAATAAAAAATCATACAAGATATATTTAGCACATTAAAACTTAAGAGGTTATAGTATATTGTCCAGACCTCCAGGTACCACTGAAAACTTTTCCAGTACAAAGAAGCCAATATGTTAGAATAATTAATTCTCTGTATTGACTTTTATTAAAAAGAGGTTTCTGGTAGTAAGAACAAATAATCTCTCATTTGTTGCTTGAAATCCTAAAATAGGATCATTGGTTTCCAGGCTTGCTACTTGCTGCTTAGCAACCTGTCCTACTTGCCTGCCTTCCTTTCTGTTGTAAAGTACAGTGGACATGGGAGCAGGCTGACGATAGATGAATACTCGACGAAGGCACTCACAAAGGGCTGCATAGGAGTAATTTGGAGCACAGGCAAAAAATTTTTTGTCTCTCTTTGATGCTTGGACATAGCCTGCCAAGAATATGAGACAAACAAAAGAAAAACTACATATTAAACAGAAGGGGAAAAATCATGATTTAACATTTAATATTTTGCAAAGTTTATTACAAATTAAAATGCCCAAGTAAAATATATACCATAAGGTATATAATTCTGAATCATTAATGATTAGCCACAATCAGTCTCTCCCAAATGGTACAAAAATACAACTTTAATTCTTAAGGAACAAAACAGATATGGCTTTCTCTCTTCAAGAAAAGCATAATATAGTTTCATTTAATTTCCATGAATAATTCAAACACTAAAATTCTAAAATCTAAAACACTAACTACATGACAAATATCTTTAAGTGCCAATTTAATATTTAGCTTCATGAATTACAGATATGGCATCACAGAATCATTTTTTTCCTCTTAAATAAATTGGAAAATGTGTATAGGATACCATCACAAAGTTATTTTAGGTTTCTGTTCATAATGTATCCCTGAATGTACTAGTATTCGTGATGCATTCTCTTATTATCCCTAAAATGTTAGTGATATTTTTACACAACAATACCAACACTGTAACCGGATTTTGTTGTACTTTCAGCCCCAGAAGTAGAATGTTGACCACTATAACCTAAAAAATAATTTCAAGTCTCTAAACTGAAAAAATCCTTAATCTTATCTTAATTCATGTACACATTTAAAAAGTATCTTTTTGGATTAAAACAACATTTATGTTCCGAAATATAAATTATGATTTTCAGATTGTGACATGGTTAGTACATGTTAGATATTTAAGATCATGTAAAATAAAAATATAGGCCAGGCACAGTGGCTCACGCCTGTAATTCCAACACTTTGGGAGGCCGAGGCGGGTGGATCATGAGGTCAAGAGATCAAGACCATCCTGGCTAACATGGTGAAACCCTGTCTCTACTAAAAATACAAAAAAAAATTAGCCGGGCGTGGTGGCACGCACCTCTAGTCCCAGCTACTCGGGAGGATGAGGCAGGAGAATGGCGTGAACCCGGCGGCGAAGCTTGCAGTGAGCGCAGATCGCGCCACTGCACTCCAGCCTGGGCGACAGAGCGAGACTCCGTCTCAAAAAAAAAGAAAAAAAAAAAAAAACACTAATTAAAATTGAGATCTCATCAAACAATGAATAAGCAAAGGAACTACTGAGCACATGCAGATCAATATTGTTTTTAATTAAGCAGGGTTTGAAGTGGGAAAAGTGAAGATTTAGATACCTATTTAAATAGTTTGAAGTAGCTATCCAGGCTAACCTTGACAGAATAATGTATATATTTCAAGAGTACATATCTAATGTAACGTTGATTTAACTTAGAATTAAGCATAGACTTCCTCTATAATAGGGGATCTGGGGATACAAATAGAAGATCTGAGCATCTAAAGATAATATGATAGAGCTTTCTTCTGACTAAAGTATAGATAATTAAAAAATAGCATTATAGTAGGGAGGTTAAAAATTATATGGTTAAATTAGTCAACCAAACTTTGTACTTCAGGTCATAAAAATCCATTTGGTGTCTGAACCAGTTTAGCAGCCTATATTATTAACTATAAGGGATAATTAATAAATTTCTTCTACTATTAGGGTTGTGCATATATAGCCATCAAAATACATACTTTCACTTCTTGCTGCCAGTTTAAAATAACCTTTCAATAAAGCAATAACTGTGGCTAATTCACATAAAAAATTTCTGTCATACAATACTAATGCATTTTGACAAAAAATCAATGATTGCATACATCTACAATTAAGTAGTTTAAACATTTTCAAGCCCTAATTTTAAAACCGATTTTTTTCCTTTTATCCTACCAAATAAATTTAATTTCTGCTTATCACCGCTTTCCATAAGTGTTTTCATTATAATGGCTCTCTTTTGTCTTAATTTTGACAAAAGATGTCTCCTAATGTGCATTATACCTTAGGGGAATTCTATGATGTTTTTGAAGATTACTCTGAAGAAACTTGAATATAAGTTCCATGTAGGGTATTATCAAGCTCCTTGTTCAGACTCCAGTATTATATGGCTTACAGAATTAGAAAAAGCAAATGACTTATTAGAATAATTCAAATGGTTAGATAACCACTTTCATTTCTATTCTGTCTTGATCTTCTGTATAAGCATAAAAACAGATTAGTCTAAATGTTCCAACAGTGCTAACACTCATCCGCTAGTACAAGAAAACAAATCATAGCACAAATCAATCTAAATGTAATCAGGACAGCTCAAATTAAAAAGAAAAAAAAAGGAATGAAGTTTAAATGAATGATGACTGTAGTTTTGATTTCATGGAAAATGTCAAAGAGTTTGCTTTATACCTAAAGCATTGAAAGTTGCGATGTGCTCCCACATATCATCTTGTTTGCTGGAGTGTGGTTGCCAGAGTAGGGCATCAACATCATGGCGTAAACAGAAGCAGGGCATTTCTTTAGGATCCACTATGACAGAGAAAAGGTACTGGTTGCTTCCAAGATTCACCTACAAAGTGATTTAAAAAAAAACTTTTTTACCCAACAACACATTAATAATACAACAATAACAATGGCAGAGGCTGACAGCCAGCATTAAGTTTCAGCAACTGTTTCATACTTTTTATATACTTAATCTGATTGACTCCTCATAATATCCCCGAGATAAATTTGCTACTGTTACGTTCATTTTAAAGCTGAGGAAAGTGATGCACAAGGCATTTAGGTAACTTGTCGATGATCAGCCTGGCAATAAGTCATAGAGCTGAAATTTGGATCCAGAGTCTAATATGTTCTTAATCACCATGCGATATACTACCTCTTACCTGTTAATAAATAGTTTAAAACATGATATAAAGCAGGGGTCCCCAGTCACTGAGCCGCAGACTGGTACCAGTCAGTGGCCTTTTAGGAACTGGGCCACACAGCAGGAGATGAGCAGCCGGCAAGGGAGCATTACAGCCTGAGCACCACCTCCTGTCAGATCTGCAGCAGAATCAGATTCTCATAGCAGCGTGAACACTATTGTGAAATGCACATGCAAGGGATCTAGGCTGTGTGCTCCCTATGAGAATCTAACTAATACCTGATGATCTGAGGTGGAACAGTTTCATCCTGAAACCACCTACCAAGCTCCCATAGGCCCATGGAAAAACTGTCTTCCACAAAACTGGTCCCTGGTGCCAAAAAGGTTGGGGACTGCTGATATAAAGCACCAATTTTATAAGCAGACTATTTTTAAACCATAGAATATACACATGAAGTTTACTAATGCTTACTTGTAATAATCACTAGGAATAATGACACTACCAGAATTTATGAGCACACTCTACATGCCAGGCATTTTATAAATATTAATCTTCTCAACAACACACAAGGCTATTATTATCTTCATTTAAGGGATGAAAGAACAGGCTTGGAGAGCTTGAGTAACTTGTCCTAGGCTAAAGAGAAATACCACAATGCTGGAATTCACACTCACATCTGTTTATAAATTATTTACTTTAACATATTGCTTAATTAAGGTATCAATGTCAATATGTCAATAATGTCAACATTTGTTATTGTAACACATCAATAATTGTTATTGCAATATTGATGCCTACAGAAATTCATTTTAATACAAAATTATCAAACTGAAACTTACTGAATTTCATTTATAGAAATACTTTTTCTAAATGAAGATATGTTGTAAGGATAGTCTTCTTTATGAGAAATGTTATTATCAGAGTTGAAAATATGAAACAGAATATCAACGAAAATCACATCAAATGTAGAAAATATAAAATACGTGCAGTATTTAATAAATACTGAATTGATTCTATGAGTTTGTGAGCATACTGGAGAACAGTAAAATGTTGGGCTAAAGTAAGAAGTGGAGACCTGACCTGAATTCAATAGGGAAAGCTGTGAAGTGGCTCTCCAGCAAGAGGACCTATTATTGGTAAAGCTGTGACAACACAAGCTACTGGTCACAGGAGAATACAGTGTCAGAGCAACCTACCTTCTGCTCCCCCAGCAACGCCAGGGAAATAGGGCTTTTGAGTAGAGCCAGTGCTAGCTCTCTACAAAACAAGGGGAGAAGGCCAGCACACACAGACCACAGACTATTTCTTTTCTCTCCTTACTCCTGATGATCAATGGATAGAAGAGGTTTATTTTCAGTCACCACTACCTAACTGGGCTTTTATTATTATAAGGTTTAATGGACCTTACACTGCTTCAGCTCTCTTCCCTGCACCCCAACTCTGATAGTCTATTTTTTTTTTAACCAAGGGCTTTCACAGAAGAAAAACAACAGCTAAAATAAAAGTCAAAATAATATTTTCACAAAAACACATCTACTTTCATGAGCCAAGTGCCTTAAGAATGTACTGAATATTATGAGGATTGATATAACTGAATGATCTCTGGTCCATCCATACTTGAAGAGACAGCAGTGAGAAAAGAACAGAGGACCCTGAGCCAACAAGTGAAAGGTGACCACCACGGGAGATCAATCATGAAAATAAGAGGATGAGAATGAAGGTAGGTGCCTTATTATGAGTCCCTCACTCTGACTTAGATATCTGTTTCTTCACTTCAGCAGCCACGTACTTTACACATATTTCCATTATGACGATTGTGTCAAGTGTTGTTAATTATGAAACTAGCAATTTCATGCAGTTTGTCTTTGCCATACCTTTGACATGGCATTCTGTTTGGACTCCTTGTATTTTTTAACCTGATAAGATTCCCACTTATCCTCTAAGACTCAATTCAACCATTAGTTGCTCCCAGAATTCTCCCACTCTCATGGTTATATGAGCTGCTTTAATTCCGAGAACCCCAGCATCATATATGTTACTATTATCAAATTACTAATCATATTAGATGAATATTTTTGCATACCACCTGTGGCAGACTGAATAATGTCCTCCAAAGATGTCCACATCTAAACCCCTTGGAACCTGTGAATAAGTTACCTATGGCAAAAGGGACTTTGTAGATGTGATTAAGTTCAAGGTCCTGGGATGGAGAGATTATCCTGGAATATGTGGGTGGGCTCAATGTATTAAAAAGCGTTCTTAGGGAGGGAGGAGGGCCACAGACAAAGAAGGTGAGATAACAACAAAATCAAGGGGATACACAGAGATTATAAGATGATATACTGCTGGTTTTGAAGATGGAGGATGGGGCCATAAGCCAAGTAATGGAGGCAGCCTCCAGAAGTTAGAAAAGGCAAGGAAATGGATTCTCCCCTAGAGCCTCCAGAATGAATGTAGTCCCTACAAATCATTTTAGGACTTCTGACCTCCCAAACTGTAAGAGAATAAATCTGTGTTGTTTTCAACCACTAAACTTGTAGCAATTTGTTGCAGCAACATCAGCAACCTAACATATCACCCATCTCACAACGCTAATTCTTCTTGAGAACTAGAAGTCTGCCTTTTTTTCTTCATATTGTAGAGATATTTTTTTTTAATGAATGTTATGTAAAAAGTGATTATTTTTGTAATATCTTCACCAAGACTATCTTTAGATTTGGGACTTATCTATTTTACAGTTAGAATAACTGGCTGAAGATTCTGTAAGGCAAAAATCTCATAATTAGGTTCTTAACCTAACAGAGGGTAATTAGGGTCAAGAGCTTCTAGATTTTAAGTACATAGTTCTCTGTGCCTTTTAGTTCTCACTTCCAGAAATCTTAGTTTCTCAACAAATTCCCCCTATACCTTTCCAATGTTCGGAAAAAAAAAAAGTCCAAATTGCCTTAAATGGCATTTTGAAAGCTTTTCAACAACTGACCCCAGCATACTTTTCAATATTCACTATTACTTTCCTTAAAACATAACATTTAGGAAAACTGGATCACAATTTACAAAACTGTCTCCTCTATTTCCCCATTCCTTTATTCATGTTTTTTTTTTTTAACCCGTTGCATATCCTGTCCATTATATATGTTATGCCATATGTGAATGGCATCTTCTCCTCCAAGAAGTTTTCCCTAATGCTAATAAAAAGAAATCATGTATTGCAACTAGTTATTTATACCTTTCCCATAGAGTCTGTCTCTTCATTTCACTTATATGCTCTTTGAGGATGATAGCTATCACTTTGGGTAGGATATTTAAACCATTTTATTCACCCTATAAATACGGTAATAATAATACTCACTTCACAATTGTTATGATGAGTAAACAATATATTTCAAAGCTTGGCACTTAGAAAGAACTTAATAAGTGTTCACGTTGATTATTACCTGTCTAGGAAAGCCCTTAATAAGTATTAATGTTAATTATTACCCTTCCAGCATTCTTAAAATATTTTGTTTTGTATATTAATGGCATTTCAAATTTTAAGAATGAGATGAGTAACACTAACAGGAAAGCATAGCAGTTTTCAAGCAATATTCCTGTAGCTCACAGTTCTTATACAATTTTATGTCTCAGAAATGTGTAAACAGCTATAAAAATAACATACAGTTATTCCGACTTAATCCCAGCATATTGGAGACAAATTTCTATACTCTTGCACCATTTCAAAAATGAGAAATACAGAATTCATTGTTCTACTCGTCATTTTGTCATATAAACTCTATTTTTATCAGTGGTTACAAATGTATGCTTATTGCTTTCAATTTTGTATCTTCCTATAATGCATATATTCCTCAGTAAATGGATCTGCCCCTGAAAAGGGACAAAGTCATGGTTCAAATAAGATTTGGATTTTTAACATATACTCAAAACCAAGTACCTTAAAGTTTAAAATCCAAAGTAAACAAACTAGTCAATTTTTTGATGGCAGTAACTACATATAATTTACAGTGAGACACAAGAATCCCATTAAAAAATGAGATATGTAAAGAATTGTTTTGTTTTTTTTTTGTTTTGAGATGGGGTCTCACTCTGTCACCCAGGCTGGTGTCCAGTGGCACATTCATGGCTCACAGTAGCCTTGACCCCCTGGGCTCAAGCAATCCTCCAGCCCCAGCCTCCTGAGTAGCTGGGACTATAGGCACACACCACCATGCCCAGGTAATTTTTAAATTTTTTTTTTTTTTTTTTGGAGAGATGAGAGGTCTCACTATGTTGCCCAGGTTGGTCCTGAACTCAACTCAAGCACTCCTCCTGCCTCAGCCTCCCAAAGTGCTAGTATTACAGGTGTGAGCCACTGGTGCCTGGCAAGAATTGTTGAATTCTTTACTTCTTTCTGTATGTAGTAAGAGACTATGTGATACTCACTTGACTTAATAAATTCTAGCCTCCCTATTTTTTACTTCAAAACTGAGTATTTCATACAGCTAAATAAAGATTATGCCACTGCCAGATGTTTGCTACTTCTTAAGTTGGACAGATGCCACAAAAGGAAAACAAGCTTACATTTCCGTTCAAAGAGTCCAAGCTAAGAGTGGATAAAGAAACTGAACATGAGCATTATTTTAAGACAATGCCTAAAAGGTGTTTGGTTTCATTTTTTTCATGGTGGTATCAGAATCTCTTGATAACTGTTTATGCCTTTCACTACTAT